CGGGTGCTGGGCCTGCGCTCTGGGAGATGTCTGTGAGGAGAGCGGAGGGGCGCTGGGGCCGGGAGGCCCTCTTCCAGAACGATTTCCGTAGTGTTTAGACGTGGCGTGTGGGGAAACGCTCCTGGTTGTGTGCCGGAGGTGGTGGGGCCTTGTGCTGAAGCGTAGTGCTCTGGCGGCGGCGGGCTCCGGGCAAGGTGACTGAGCCGCGGGAACAGGAATAAGTAGGCCGTGAGTTTAACGGGAGCAGGCCGGGAGTTTAACGTTATTGCCAGCGAGTTACTGCTGGTGATCTTCTCGCAGGAAGTATATCGCTTTTCTTAATTTGTGCTTGCAGCCGTGGTTTTTTTTTTGCGGAATTTTCTGCCGAGTGATACAGTTTAGCAAGCAGAAGCTGACGTTGGAATGCTACTCACTACCTGGTGTAGTGGAGGGTGTCCCTGCCCATGGCAGGGGGGGTTGGAACTAGATGATCTTTGAGGTCCCTTCCAACCCGAACCATTTTGTGATTCTATTTTGGTGATTTTTGCTCGGCTTTTTGCAGTCAGTTATGCTTTCTGGGGACTGTAGGTAAATCAATTGAACGTTTCCAGGCTAATATATTTTCACAACTTTTCTAACTGCCTGTCACTGTACACGAAAGCTGAAGTGATCCACGTATTGTCTCTGAGGTTATATGAGTCAGTCATCACAAGATAGGCCCTTTAAGAGCTGAAACCAAAATTTAAATGGAGGAGATTGTTGTTTGGTGGTTAGCGCAGATAATAGCAGTGTTATAAAAAAGTTAAAGGATCGCTCTGGTATTGTGGTTTGGTTTACATTGCTTTGGATTTCTATGGAATATGTTTCATGTGATTTTTTTTTTGCAGGATAGATGTCCATAAAATGTCTTGTGTCAGAGTGGTGAAAGTTTGATGTCTCTAATATTTACTGTGAAATTAGATCACGTGGAAGATTCCCATGAGATTTTGTTAGAACTAATGAGTAAAATTATTTCTGGTGCTTGATTTTTAGTGGTATTATTGTAAGACTGGTGGGATAGGATACAGTCAGGTTGTATTGAAAGGGATGAGCAGCGAAATTGAAATATTTATTTTGTCATTTATAAATTCTACTCATATAATCATTTATCCAGATAGGCTTGAATTTTTTATTCTTTGGAGTTTTTTTTGTTTGGTGGTTTGATTGTTTTTTTAATCAGTGGTCAAGTTATGAGTAGCAGACAAGAAATGTTTTTATGTTTTGTATTTCAGTTTGCTTTTCATTTTCTGTTCCATGTAAGGGATGATTCTGACTGAATAGCAGGTGTTAATGCACGTTTGTTTTTAACTGAACTTCTTTCTTCTGTAAACGCAACGTTATTTTTATGCTCCTTTTGGAAGAGAAATGCTCTTTCACTGCTTAAAAAAAGTGGAAATAAATATTGCATACTTTTAGTAGGAAATTGCCTGGTCTTATCTCCTCTGTTTGCCAAATCAGATTTTTGCTTGGACCCTTCCTTGAATAGATCTAACGCTTATGGCCAGCAGAGGACAAATGGCCTCCTCAGGTTGCTTTCCTGCTGTTTCAGGTGAGTCAAATTTGTTCATGGAAGGATCCAACACACTCCAGAGTCAACAAAAGATGAGTTGCAGGAGAGCCCAGTTGAGAGTGTCTGTAATGAAAAGGACTCATTTGGACCTTCCCCCTTTATCAATGACGAACTGTAAGAAATCTGTCCTGTACCATTTTTCTGTTTCTTTTATTTTGTGCTTTTCTTGATGCTTATCTTGATCTGCTGGAAAGAATTTAGCTCATCAGTTTGAATGCTAACAGTGACAGTGCAAGGAATGAAATCACCTCGTGAAAGTGAGCTGAGCAGTATACCTGATGCAAGTGAGGGAGAGGAACTGCATGTTCAGATCACCCTTTTTGCATCACTATGCTGCTGAATAAATCTGGAAATTTATTTTTAAATAAACTCGATAGGTGTATCTACAGAAGGGACAGGGGGGAAACTCATTCTGCTCCTGTCTTTTGTGTATTTAAAGTTCCAACTATAAATCAGGCCCACCTAATAGGGAGGGGGTTTATTAGAGAGCATGTGTCAGACTTGCTTATTCCATTAAATTTTCCCTGTCTTCTTGTTTATTTCTGAACCAGCTGATCCATGAGAATTTTAGCATCTCTGGATGCTACTACAGTAGCTAGGATAAATGTAGTTTACTCAAGTGCGCTGTTGCCCCACCAAAAGGGAAACAAAGCTGAGGTTCAATACGTATGATGTGAGAGAGGTGACATGTTTAGTATTCCAATCCTAGTGCACCTCTTTTTCATTACTCTTCAGCAAAAAAATCTCATGTGCTCTGAGCTTGCCTGGTCTTGCGTGGGGAAGCAGAATGCAAGCCAGGAAATTGCCACCCGTGTTTAGCAGTTGGTGCAGCTGTGAG